AGAGAGAGAGAGAGGGAGGGGAGGAGTGGCACTCATGGGACCTCCCACTCTCCGCCTCACAGCCCTTTTATCGTCATCTCTCTAACCCATGTCACCTAATCCGACGACAAATATTAGGACAAATCTCCACACAGGACACCTCTCTCTCTCTGATCTGATGTTGGTGTGGCACAAGTGTTTGTAGCAATAAATCCAAAGCAAGAGTTTGAAAGAAGAATCCTCCTTTGCCACCAAGATCCAATCACGACATGTCCTGGTGGCAGATGCTACATGCCAAAGGAAGGGGGAAAATTAGAATACCAGTACACTGGTGCCAAGTAGAGGACAAGCCACTCTAGCGCAGAGGATAGGACTGGTTTACGGATCCCTCCAGTTATATCAACCTCAATTTGAGACAACGTATGCTGTCCCAGTTTGTCACCTTGGCTCCTTCCTCTCCCCTCTCTATCGTCATGCAACTCCCACTCTCTTTTCTCTCTTCCTTCTCCAACTTAGAGTTTGGTTTCATCGGAGAGGAGAGAGAGAGAGAGAGAGAGAGAGAGAGAGAGAGAGAGAAAGAGAGAAAGAGGGGATATGGGCTATTACTTTCTATATGAAAGGTTTTTAACAGCGAGGGATGCAACCGGCAGATACATGTATATAACGCTTTCTCCTCCTGTCTCGACTTGTCTTCTTATTGGTTGAAGCCTTATTTGTCGACACACAACTCGGACCCCTCCCCTTAGCTCTAATAGCAAGAACCAAAAATGAATCCGAGGCCTGGCCGCATCTCTCTCTCTTCACTGCGGCGCCGCGGCCCGCAGAATCCAACTCGTGAACGCGTCGAGCGTCTTCATGTCAGCTCGGTAATGCTTCTGGGTGAACTCCAGCAGCGCGGGCCACGTGAAGTCTGGGTACGCCCTGGGATGGTCGGCGTCCACCAGCTCCGCCGGCGGTCGCACCACCTTGTCGGTGGCCGGGCACAGGAAGAAGGCCAGTGACTTCCGCGGCACCTTGCTATTCACCACCGCCCTGTGCAGACAACTCTTGTACCTCCCGTTCGACAGGGCCTGCATGCAGTACCGCAGCTCGTTAGTGCTTCGGCGCACTCGCCTACGTGCGTTGGTGTAGTGGGAGGGGGGGCTCGCTTGGCGTTACCATGAAGGTGTCGCCGATGTTGACGACGAAAGCATCGGGCTTGGGGCAGATGGTCCGCCACTTGCCGTCGGCGAAGACCTGCAGGCCTTGGACATCGTCCTGGTGGAGGATGGTCAGCGAGGTGGGGTCGCAATGGGGGCCGGTGCCGAGCGTGAGCTCCGGCCTCTGGCACGGCGGGTAGTAGTTCAGCCGCATTATCGAGTCGTTGCCCTCGAAGAACTCACGGAAGTGCGCCCGCCCAACCCCCAGGCTCAGCCCGAGCACCTCCATTATCTGTAGCGACAGGTTGCTCATCGCCTCGCAGTACCGCTGGTACACCTCCCTGTCATCCAACCATGAAGCATCGAATTAGCGAGATGCGATTCACCGCCGTGAATTCCGGTCGACCTGCTCGATCGTAGTCCATTCATTGCCGATCTTTTACCCGGAATAACGGAAGTCTTCCCCGAGGGTGCGGACGATGTAGTCCTCCACGATGTCACCGGCGAGCGGCGAGGGCGAGAAGCGGAACGAGAGGGTCTCCTTCCATGGCAGCTTGTTCGCGAACCTCCCGGCGAAGCTGCTGGCGTAGCCGCAGCTCTCGCCCGTCCGCCTCTGCGCCCTCTGCTTCTCGGCGAGCGGCATCACGAAGAAGGCCTCCACGCAGCGGTGGGCCTCCGCCAGGAAACCGGCGTCGATGCCGTGGTTGACGACCTGGAAGAACCCGTGCCGTTGGCACGCGTCCGCAACGGACCCGGTAATCGCCGCAGCCGCGGCGGGGTCTCCGGACATGATCCCGCTGAGGTCGATCAGGGGGACGACGAGTTCTTCGTGGGCGTCCGGAGTCGGCGCCTCGCCTTCGGGCCAGACGAACTGCTCGGGGATGCTGGCCTGCCGGCTATGGAAGGCGGCGTCGAAGATCAACGGCGTCCCGGGTGGCCCCGGCTTCGCCATGGTAGCTATGGTCGCATTCACCTCTGTTTTGGGTGGAGACAGAGTGCGCAGGACCATGCTGAGACGCTTGTTGCGACGAGCTCTATGAGTGCATATATAAACACGTCTACCACTTGTTGTGTTCAGAACGAAAGCGAGGTAAGAGGAGGAGGAGGAGGAGGAGGAGGAGGAGATGCCAATCCAATCGTGGAAGACGGTGTCTCCTGTTAAGGATTCGATGGCATCATATCCTCTGCCTTTTAACTGCTGCCCTTCCCTCCTCCTTATATAGTGGAGAAGGAGGGGTTTGCTGCATCAGATCACAGCAATCATCAACCTTACAATCCTACAATATCTATCACCATATACAAGATTAAAATCATGAAGAGATTCTCCCTCGCTGTGATGACCCTGACAGCGAATCCCGGCCACATAATACCAAAAAGAGCATGTCTTTATTTCTCCATATACAAATGGCGATGGAGAATGATGTGCGTAGCTACGCATGTGTAAAAGCAAACACAGCAAAGTACAATTCCAGTATACCATATCTTATGGGTGCAATGTTGTGGATGTCTTCCTCTCTCTCTCTCTCTCTCTTCCCGTATATAGCAATTATATTCCTATGGTGTAATCGGATCCAACGAGGCACGCATCATCTTTAACCAATGAAATTTTGGATTTTGGGGATAAAAGTTTGGCCTTTTCCTCCATCTCAGTTTCATGGAAAGGAGAGGAGATGGTGCAGATTTGTATCGAATTCAGGTCGATATCAAAGAAAGGAAATCAAATCTGACCTGTCAAATAATTGGACTTGACCATTCAAAATTAGGAATATTTTGTCTTTATTTATTTATTTATTTTATTTTTTTCTTAATTATTTTTCTTTAGGAAACAAAAAAAAGAAGAGAGGAATAACAAGAAAATTACGGGTGACAATGACAATATCTATCTGATATCAAACATCAGGATCCGAAAGATGTGATGATGGAGCGCAGCAGAAGTTCCAGTTCTAAGGTGGACCCGGTCGCCTTTTTCTTTGGCAGAGTTGGAATTGATGCGGTCGACGATGATTGGCCGCCTCTCTCCGATGGGGGCCTCCGTGTGCACTTGCAACCACCCTCTCCTTCTTCTTATCCTCTCTCCCTCTCCCGAAGCTGGCAAGGTAAATGGATAAACAGTGTCGCCCACCGCCCTCCACTTAGTCCCCATCATTTGGTTAGTCTCAATCTGGTCTGCTCCGAGGTTACCAACTCCAAGCATCCCATCACCCACCCTGCGTCTCCTAAAACAGCTTGAAGCAACACCGCGTCAGGAGGATTCACACCATCGCTCACCATCACCCTCCCTCGCTCGTCGCATGCAGATGTTGAGCGCTACGAGACCACAGACGACCTCATTCTGACTCCCCACCCGATCCAATATGGAGGAGTTCTTTAACAGAGCCCGGGATGGACCAAATCAGTAGCCAGGAGAGGAGGTCTGTGCTGCACGACAGGACCTGCATAGATAAACAGAAATCATCATGCCGGGCGATTGCACTCCGGAAACAGTGATCGGTGACCAGACATGAGCTGAGCACCATCAGCTACTGCGCTAACGGATGCCACAATCTGTGATCATAAACTATGTTTGATGGAAGCGCTGCCAAAACCCTGGGGAAGTGAATCCGGTGCCGGCAAGAACTGCCAAAACCCTTAAGGCTGGCCATGCCTATTGAACTTCTCACTCTAACAATAGTCCAACGGGTGCTCCACTGCTACATGATGGTGGCAAATTTCCACTTGCATCATACCTGTCTATCTTCTGTGCGTAGGTGTGTCTTCATGCTGGCACATAGAGGAGGGCAGCCACATTCGAGCATAGAGTTGTTTAGTGGTTCCATGCTCTTATAGAATTCACGACGCTTGTCCCCTTACACCATAGGGAATGGTGTTGTTGTCCCTTCAACAGCCATAAAGGCTCGAGCGTCTCACGTTCTTATTAGCATAATGCCTCTCTAATAATTGAATGGAATGTGAGGCAGGGCATAAAAAACACACGGTTGGGGACGTACGCTTCTTGTGTCCTGTGACAACAGTGCTCCTCTCCGATGGGCAACTACTGAGCCCACGAACGTGGCTCGATTGGGCCACGCTAATGCCGCGAAGGCCCAATGACGGATCATGTTATGTTGAATGCTTTTATATTCGTGTACGGACACGTGTCGTCTTCCTTGTAAAGTCACATGTGTAGGGGATCCCTCGCTGTCTCTGCGTCCCACCGGAAGATATGCGTCGATCTATCTGTATCGACAAACGATTCGATTCTGGTCACAGATTGTGAGACTAAGAACGACGAAGTCGAAGGATTTGAGGCCCTTTTTTTTTTTTTCGGCTCCCTTTGGGATGAAACTGGTGAACGGTAATCTTACTGACAGGTGCTCGTATCATATTGTTCGGCCATCCAGTGAGCAAGCCGCCGTCACGTGCTCTTTTGACGTGGGCCAGCAGTCCGATAAGTTACGACATGCCAGATTAAAGGGAATTCGCGCACCGCGGGTGTGTGCGACGACGACGGAAATGGAAGGATGTGACACCTTTTTTTGACCATCTTGTCGCCCAACTCGTGGACGGTAAGCCCACCAATGTCAACCAACCCCTTTCTTTTCTCGTAAACAACGCGAGATGGGCAGTAATCGTATCCCGTAGGCCCAAAGCTCATCCACGAGGACAGCATTGACGGGACGACCGTGCGGCCCAGTCGGAGGAGGCTGCGAACGCCAAACAGGTGACGACACGGCGACGGTCGGGTTCCTTATGTGTCGGATCATGAGAATCATACGATTGAGTTGTTATAAGAAGGCTGCGAACGCCAAACAGGTGACGACACGGCGACGGTCGGGTTCCTTATGTGTCGGATCATGAGAATCATACGATTGAGTTGTTATAAGAATATTTCGACCGTAATAAAATTACTTTACCTTGTCTCCAATTCTTCCATGTGTTTTAGCTCTATCACTTCTCCTTATCCATTCAACACGAGAGAGGGTCGAGGACGAGCGGAAAGCGACGATTGGGATGAAGGTGATACGGTATATTTTGGCCCAAGACACGTCAGAGTCTGACGTCATCGACCACAGTCAGAATCCATACTAAGACACTGCTCGACACATCATATCTTGGGAATCCCGAGACAGAGCCGCTCTCGAGACACGGCAAGTCAGAATCCGTACCAAGGTACTATTTGACATGTCTACCATGTCAACCTGCGTACGATCGACCCACATGCAGTACTATAAAGACCTCTAGTCAACATCCGGGGGGGGAGATCAATTGATCACTCGACTGACTTGCTCGTCGGAGGGACCTCGTTGGGCGATCTCGACGAGGGCCATTTTTGTAGGAAAACCCGGCCACCCCACAAAGGCGAGTTGCCAACCACCCCGGAGAAGGAGAGACGCAGCTCGAAATACACGGGGCCCAGATCGGCACACAAGGAATGCTAATCAATACCCCGTCGTGAGGGCCCGATCGACCTCGGCATCCAGCTCAACCGACAGAAGACTCCCGACATTTTACCCGTGGACCAGGCCGTGCTGACTCACCAGCCACGACACATCTGTTCACCAACATTTTAGCGTTAGAAGGAGGGTCGATGTCGCAGGAGCAGCTGACAGGAGTTCTCCCCGAGGGAGAACCTCCGACCGACCTCTCTTCCATCGAACCAAAAGGCCAGGCCCTCCCCACCCCCGGAGACGGGGGAACGTCGGCTTTGACGCCAGACCACTACTGGCGTTTGTTCAACGACCTGGGGTTGTCGCCCCCGGGGTTTGCCACAGGGCCCTCGGCCGTGACACCCAAGGCATTCCTTAGCCTGACCAAGCAAGTGCAGGCCATGGCGGGTATGATGTAGATGCTCGCTCCAATCATTTCTCAAATCGTGCGACTAGTGACGTGCATGACCGACCCGACCTGGCAGCGGCCGAGCGAGGAGCAGATCTGGACTAGAGAAGCCCGAGAGCAAGCAATGGACCCGAGAGGCCTGCCCGAATAGAGCATACCTGCACCCTATCGAATCACACCGCCCCGCTCAGAACTTGACACCATATCGTCCGACTCGGCGGACGACTCGCTTAGGGCCCAGTTGTCCCAGGTCAACCAGCGTTTGGACGCGTTCTAGTGTGAGTTTCAAAAATTGCGGGGCGAGTCCAACGAAGGCGGCTCAGGTGGGTCCCCTTTCACTTAGGATATACAGGGCAAGCTTGTACCCCTCAACGTCATGCTACCCGCATTGGAGACGTACGATGGCGGCTCCGACCCCGCGGAGCATGTCGTCGCGTTTCGGGCTCAGATGGCCCTCTATGGCACCCCCGACGCACTAATGTGTCGGGCATTCCCGACCACTCTAAGGGGACCGGCACGAGCATGGTTCAGCCGGCTACGCCAATCCTTGGTCTCATCCTTCGACCAGCTCACCGAGGAGTTCGAGCAGAACTTCCTCGCCAACATGCAACCTAGGCCCTCCACGGCCACCCTACTCGTGCTATCCCAGCACGAAGACGAGTTGCTCTCTCAGTTCGTGGCACGCTTTGCCGTTGAGGTCCGAGGATTCCCGGATGCTCACCCCTCTCTTATCATGCAGGCGTTTCTGGTGGTTGAAACCTTCAAGGTTATTCTGGTCACTGATCGAGGAGCCGCCAGTAACTATCCCTGAGATGCTCCAACGCGCCAACCAGTACATCGCTGTCGAAGCTTTGGTGGCGGGAAAGCGCATGAACAGCAAGAGGCCAAGGGCGGAACAATCCTAGAGAATGACTTCTGCAGCCCCAGTGCAACCTCGCTAGAGGCCCGACTGACAAGAGCTATTGCTCCCGAGGCCCCCGCCTCTCCCTCTGAGCACGTTCCACCGGGACTACGACCATGGCACGGAAGATTGCCGTTACCTCCAGAATCAAATCGAGGACTTGATCCGCAAAGGTCACCTCGGGTGCTATCTCAAGGAACCCCGAGCAGCAACCCCACGTCCCAAGGGACCCATCGAAAGACGCCTCGTCATCCAAAATCTCTCGTCGAAAAGCCACTCACGACAAGAGGTCCATAGGCTCGCCAGATCGATTCCCAACCTACGGCTCGTCGACCCAACTTCTCGCCCGAGTCGCTCCATGTCAATCCCCGACTTGCGACTCGTCGGCTCAGCTTCTCACCTGAGTCGCTCCATGTCAATCCTCGACTTGCGACTCGTCGGCTCAGCTTCTCGCCCGAGTCACTCCATGTCAATCCCCGACTTGTGACTCGCCGACTCAGCTTCTCGCTCGAGTCACTCCAT